GCCGAGGGTCACGGCGATGCAGCGCAACGATGAGGTCCACAGGGAGCGCTCGCGGGTCGAGGCGTACATCCACATGCAGGAACAGGCCAAGCTCGAGACGGAGAGGCATTTCCAGCACGCGCTTGCAGTGCGACAGGCCGCCCTCAGGGAGGAGGTGACCCAGGCGAGGCGCGAAGCCAGAAGGTGCGAGGAGGAGAGCGCGCAGCAATGAGTATGGGCAGAGCAGCGTCACAGCGAGGTTGTGCCGTCGATCGCAACCAACAGCGCGCAGCAGATAACGGACGTGCAGCGGCAAGTCGCGGCCCTCGGCACCGAGCAGGAGCTGAGGCAGCAGTCGGCACAGAGGCAGTTCCAGCAGGCGATCGAGGAGCAGAAGCGCGCGGGGATATTTCGAATTCAGCAAGCACCTTCTGGGCACGAAGGAACAGCAGCTCAACATCGAGAGAACCAGCTTCCAGGAGCAGACCAAGAAGGCAGAGTCGAACAAAGAGCTTGAAATGCAGCTGCTAAGGGCACTTGATGAGCAGCAGATCAACGGTGAGGGCCGCGCAGTACCGTAGCTCGGATGCCAATCAAGGACAGGTCGTACCATGCCTCCCACAGCCAGCAAGCATGCTTGACGACATGGAGTGGCAAATACGGGCTGCAGGCGAAGGACGACATGATGCACCCAACATCCCTTTTGTTCGTCTCGAGGATGTTTGGATAATACCTCCACACCCGCCGATGCCCATTCAGCCAGGAACGAGCGCTGAGGAGCAGGAGATCGACTTCGTCATCGCAATGCAAGTCGAACAGCAGGAGGACGAAGCAGAGCACCACCAGGCACTTCGACAACAGGACGAGCAGCAGCACGAAAAAGAGGATGATATAATCAACCACTGGGCTCTCAACGTACCCACTCCAACGCCACGCTGCATGTCCGCGCCTGCCGGTCCTTACGACGGCATCTATATCCAGGAGGCCCTCGATATTCAGCAGATCCGCCGCGAAGAGCAGGACCGAACACGGCGACAGGCCGACGAACAGCACGACGCCAGGAAGCAGATGCAGGAGTAGGAGGAGGAGGACAGAGAAGTCATTGCTCACATCGTGGAGACCCAGGCTCCTCCTCCTCCTCCTCCTCCTCCTCATCCTCCTGAGACGGACCGAGCGATCAAGTGGACGACATTCGATCGCCAGGTGGCTAAAGCAGAAGAAGGTGCAACTCCCCAGGATGCTCACCCACGCCGAAAGCCGAGGAGCCCGACGACCAGGAGTTGTCCGAGACCGTGCCCTTCAGCCCAGAGAGCACGATTCCACATCGAGGAGAACGGGCAGCTTCAGCTGGACCTGGAGGAGGGGCCTTCGGGATACTTCGGACAAGGAGCGGTACGGCCACGGGTGGATGTGCATAATGGTCGGCGTCTACCACGAGAGGATCCTCGAAGGCCCATCGGCAGGTACGTAATCGTGGACGATGGGGACGGCTTCGCCGACATCGTAGACAGGAAGGTGATGAAGATTAGCAAGGGCGACCTCAGCAGCGACGGGGCCGCCGACAGACACGCTCCTACTAGGGGCGACCGACGTGGAGGCAAAGTCCTGCAGCCTCCCCAGCAGGACCACACCTTGCAGGGCAGCACCCTCGAGGGTTGGCGGACTGGGGCCTCCGAGCACGTCGCCGCCCACCCAGCAGCAATTCCGCCGGAGAGACAGTCTCTCACAACAGCGAATTCGACCCCATGCTGGAGGTATAGCTAGGATGCGGCTTCCCAGCCAGATGAGCGAGGATGCGCACAGAGGCGAGCACAAGCACAACGTCGACTCCAACATCGGCCAGTGTAGGGTGGCATGCTCGCCTCCGCCAGGTACTTCTACCTGGCCACGGAGCGCCGCTGCTGCCAGCTCAGCAGACGACAGAGCGGACGACAGGAGCTTGGGGGAAGCACGACTGTCTGCTGTCGAGGAGGCCTCCGCACCCTACGACACCGACGACCAGCGCCGCGCCGTGGACGTCGCGTTAGTCTCCGACTCTTCGAGATCGCCGTCGATTTCTCTTTCGCCGCGGTCTACGACAGGAGAGATTATGAAGCCTTCTACTCTCAGCCTTGCCGAGGGTCGTGCAGGAGGGCCACAACAGGACGGTAGGAGCCCGTGGGATGCACTACCTCCCGTTCTTCCAGCACCTCGAGAGGTTGAAGTTCGGCATCACCCTCATCTTTTTGAGCTTCCAGAAACCTTGACGACGATCACGACGTCGGCTACAATTTCGAGCCCTAGCAGGTCACCCACCCGTAGAAAAAAAAAGCACGGCAAGGAAGACCTCCTGGACAGCGATGTCTTTTTCAACGCCTTAGAGCTGCAGGCGCCCTTGCCTTCAGTTACAACGCTGAGGTCGAGCAGTCCCACTCGCTGTGGGGAAATCCATAGCGAGGTCAGTTTCCTAGACGGCGCACTCGACGACACCTACACCCAGGCGCCCTCCCCGCGGCAATGTCGTGGGCCTGGACGCCATCACGGAGCCCTTGAAGAGGAGGCTCGCGATGAGGAGCAGCATGTTGGAGGAGTTGACGGCGTAGGAGGATTTGGCAGACAGGAGGGAGGTGTCGGCGGCGGCTCCAGCAGCTGCAGGCCCTCCCACGACCACGACAACCCCGAGTATGACAAACCTGGAGGTGGCATAGCGGATGAGAACGAGATAGAGATGGAGGGCGATCAGAGGTTACCAGAAGAGGAGACAACGTGCGTCAGAAGACTGTTCGATTCAGAGGAGACCGAGGTGAAGCGTTAGTCCAGAATTAGGTTCTTACTTGAGGACGAGGCGCAACAAATCAGGTTCTGCTTGAGCCCTGGCGACGGTCACCAGGATATCCACCCCGTCGATCACCACGTGGACCAGCGAGGCCAGCGGCATCAGCATCTGCAGGAGAGCGGGCTTGAATTGCGTCCTGAACCCCTCGAAAACGTATCGAGACGATGTTTCTCATTCCTTTGAGGAAGTCGACGACGTCCAGCACCACTCGCAGCAACACGACGTTCACCGCCACCTGCACCAACAGCATAATGACGCCGGACACATGCAGCATCACGTCGACCTGCATCACATTGACAAACACAAACAGCAACACCACATTAATCAGCACGAAAACGACTGTCCCTATCGAGACGACCGCTCCCCTTTCTTTGAGGAAGTCGACGGCGCCCAGCACCACTCGCAGTAGCACGACGTTCACCGCCACCTGCACCAACAGCAGAACGACGCCAGCCGCCGACAGGATCACGACGACCTGCACGACATTGACCAGCACAACCAGCAGCACCACATTAACCATACCACGAAACCGACAGTCCCTATCGAGACGATTCTTCTTCTTTTTTGGGGAAGTCGACGATGCCCAGCACCACTCGCAGCAGCACGACGTTCACCGCCACCTGCACCAACAGCAGAACGACGCCAGCCACCTGCAGGATCACGACGACCTGCACGACATTGACCAGCACAACCAGCAGCACCACATTAACCAGCACCACGACGAAGATGACGGGCAGCAGGCCAGGGCGGGCGGGAATGATGACATCCACCACGACAACGAATGCGACAACGGCCACCACGACCACCACGGAAGGACCTGCAAGCTGAGCATAGACAACACTTTCGAGGACAGGTTCGACGGTTGCCAGGCGGTCGGGTTGCTCGACCTTCGGTTCGACGCGAACGGTATTCAGATGAAGCAGCGCGCTAGACTGGCACTACAGCTAGCACCAGCACATGACTAAAACCACCATATCGATACCACCTGCATGAGGGAGCTTAATCTGTACACCGACGGTTCGCACTACGAATCCAACCACGATCGCGATGGATGGGCTGCTGTGGTCACTTCCATTGCATGGGGTACAACAGCGGGGCGGCACGGGAGGCGAGTCCCGACGCTGCCGACGGCAGACTGGGCAGTACAGCGTCTGAGCTGACAGCCATGCGTTGGGCGCTCGCGTTCATCCTGCAGAAAAGCACCACCTCTGGAGCCAACATCGTGACCAGCGACTCGCAGCACGCGATTCATGCAGCTCGAGGTACAGCTATATACCAGCCCTTCGAGAATGTTGCTCGGGTCACCGCCCTGCTCGCGAGGGAAGCGCCCCAGAAGGAGCAACTCACCATCAGGCGCATCAAGAGCCACGAGTTCGACCCTTTGAGCCAACTGGCCGATACACCAGACAAGAGCGCCAGCGAACCGCAGCAACCGCAGGCAATACTTCGACACCACCCCAAGTACAACAAGGCCCAGGAGTGTGAGTTCATATTATATGATCACGAAACTGAGGTGCGATATCCCCCGCTTGGTGATCGCGGCTTTTTCTTCGAGAAAACCCCCAGACGGTAAGAGTCGAAGACAGCGGACACGTCGAGAACCGCGGCCCCGACGAGCCGCGCCATGCACCTGCAGACACAGCACAGCTTTACTGCAAGGTGACATCTTATAATGCGATGTCGCTGGTCCAGGGCAGGGCCACCAATAGAAACAAGCACCACGGCGACAACGTCGAACAGCAGCAGCTGAAGGGTGTGGGGCTGCAGATCCTGAGGTCCAACTTCGCGGATAGGTCCTTGCTGTTGGTAGGCGTTCAGGAGGCTAGAGGTAACGAAGGGCGCACGATCGCAGACGGATCTATCCATATCCGTGGTCCTGCCGACTAAAGCGGTCACGGTTGTGCGTTGCTTACCACCACCTTCATCTCCCACGGCCTCTTTGGCTCGCGCGAGCTCTACATTGCCGACAGACACGTCAGGGTGCATAAAAAACGCCGACCGTTCTCATCATCAGAATTAAGGCGCCCTGCTTGGACCTCGCTGTGGCGGTCGCACATGCACTGCACCACCACGCCACAATAACCCTGAGAGGGCAGCGGTGGCAACAGTTTCGACAGGACCTGGCAGGTCACCATGCTGCTCGCAGACGCCAACGGCCAGATAAGCACTGGCCTTGCCGACGACCCCCCACATCGGCCACCACCAGCACGCAGAGAAAAAGCGACGTCAAGGGCAGGCACTTAGCGGAGGTGTGTGCGGTGGGCATGACATTGGCCAACACCTTCTTCGACTCGGGTCCTACTTTGCGGAGCTCCAAGGGCGAAGGCAAGCGCATTGACTGCGTCGGGCTGGCCCCACCGTTGGCAACGGCGGCCCAGGAGTGTACCACCGTACAGGACTTCGGCAATGGCCTCAAAGTTCGGGACCATGCGCCGACCATCTGCACGTTGAGATACGTCGTCGGGCCGAGGCCCCCGAAGTCGATCTCCATATCTTTTGACAAGAGTAAGTTCGGGAGCGACGAGGCCGAGAGCATCTATAGGAGCAAGCTCAGTAGGAGGACGGCCGAGTGGGACACCGACGTCAACGAACACCATGAGAGTATGGTTCAGGACATTCATGCGGCAGCGGGAGTAGCTTTCAAGAAAGACCCGACAACGCAAATCAAGGAGTACATCAGCATCAACACCATGAGGCTCACCAGGACGAGGAAATGCGCCATTAGGGAGCTCAGGCTGCTGAACGTTGGGAAAGGTAAGCTGGATCACCTCGCAGCGCACCTTCCTCAGCAAGAGCGGCCTCTTTTCCCGCCAGGAACCCCAGGACGAGAGCAGGCTAAACGGTTGAGCCTCGCCATGAGTATGTTCCAGGACCAGACCACCGGGATCCAAGAAGCCAGAGCGGAAGTCGAGCTCTACCTCAAGTCAACTGCTACGATCCTCAAGACGGCTATCAAAGAGAAGAGGCGCGACTACACTGGCGCGATTGCGGAGAAGCTCGACGACTCCGTGCAGCCCAAAGGCACAACGCTGTCCGAGTGGCGATGGCTTCGGCGGCTACTCCGTATCGGAGGCCGACGAGGGCGTCGAGGGCAGGGCGGCGACGTTATCCCCTACAGGCTGGACGACAACGGCGATGTTATCGACTCCGAGGAGCGGATGATCGAGGTTCAAGTGCAGGACTATGCTGAGCTCGAGGACGCCTCCTTGGGCCATCAGGTAGCGGCAACGTACAACTCCTACGACGACGACTTCGCACGCGAGGAGTTCTCCACCGAGAGCGCGCCCACCATGCTAGACACGCAGATCGCGGTCAGCAAAGGTGAGAGGAGGAGAGCTCCAGGAGAGGACGGCATCTCGTACGACGTCCTTGCGACCGACCCAAATAAGCGTGCGGCTGAGGCCCATGCACTGCGCACTAAAGTCGCTCTCCGCCTCCAAGAACATCTTGCTGTCAAGCATGCTACGCTAGCAGAAATCCCGAAAAGGCAAGCTGACTGATCTCGGCAAGAAGCTCACAGGTCCATCACGCTTTGCACTGCAATGGCCAAACGTCACTATGCCTTTCTCTGCAACAGTATTCGTGATGCTGCAGCGGTGATCCTCTACGACAGCCAAGTGGGATGAGTCAAGGGCCGAAACGCCCAATATTTGTCGACATGCGTGCGGCCTTCTACCGGATAGTTCGACAACTCATCATTGCTGTCCCGCAACAGCGACAACGTGGGCATGCTATGCCGTACCCAGCAGGTCCCAGAGGCCCTTCGTCGGTTTCTCGAGGAGGTCCTAGCCCAGCCTGGACTTATTGGAGAGCACTGTCGCGATGACCATTCAAGACGCACGCAATGGACATCAACCTAGGCCCCGCGAAGTCGGCATTACTTGTCACGGCGCACTGACTACAGACGAAGCGGATCCGCGACCACCCCTACGGCGACCAGATGAAGGTGTCCGCTACAACTTGGGACATAGTTTTCCACGTCCTCTACAGATACAAGCACATGGGCACGATGATCTGCAGCGACGGTTTCTGGGGACCCGAAGTGCAACATCGTCTTCGAGCCCATCGTCAGGCCCTGGACCCCATCAGGATTTCCGTCGCGAAGCATGCCCGAGCCGAGCCTGAGAAGCTTGCGAGGCACGTCGACACTCTGGCCAACGCCAGGCCCACGTGCCAGGCCGAGCTGTGGTGCGGCATCAACGTCAGCGACCACCAGCGCTTGCAGGCGGCCCACTCACAAGGCTACAGGGTGGCCGCCGCAGCTGGCTACAATCGCGACGCCGCCGAGCAGATCCCAGGCAGCAAGGTCTACTGCGACGCCAAGCGCGCAGACCTGCCAGCGGTGGTGTCAGCACGAAGGCTCAGGTACTTCAGCGCAGTACTCCGTCAGGCACCCTCCACTCTGAAATATTTGCTCGAGTTCGGGCTTCAGCACCGCGACACCTGGCACCAGTCGATCCCCGACGACCTGCAGTGGGCCAAGCAGTACCACGGCAGCAGCGACCTCCCTGCCTATGATGACCTCAGCAGCTGGGGGGCATATGCAGGAGCGGTCCAAAAGGGATGGCGAAGATAGTTAGGAATACCTTTGAATACCTTCGAGCAGTACAAGCGGGTGATGGAGAAGCGCTGCCAGCACGACATCTGGAGGCGCAGCAGCGACCACTGCGAGCAGCAGAGGGACCGCAACCAGCACCACACCACCTCCATGATGCACGACGAGAGCAGCGAGGCCAAGAGATGGTACGCATGCTATGACTGCGAGGAGGTCTTCACCACCGAGGCTGGCCCCCGCAGCCACAGGACCAAAGCCCACCTCCCAGAACTCGACGCACAAATATTCGCAGAGGGCAGCGTTTGCAGAGCATGCGGTACAGACGTTCGCACATGAGCGCGTTTGGCCAGACATTTGCGTCACCGAGACACTGGGTGCTTGCAGCACTACGCGGACACGTATGAACCGCTAGCAGACGACGTCGTACATCAAATGAGGACCGAAGACTCTAAGCTGACAAAGCAACTGAGGACCGAAGGCTTCAGGGAGGACAAAGCCACACGCCCGGCACGACGACGAGCACAACCACCAACACAAGAACGACCAACACCACGACCTCGAGATACATTACCAGGTGTAACCGAGAGCGTGCAGCACGGCAATGGCGGGTACGCGGAAGTCTTGGACAGCAACAGCGGGCGTCTCATCACAACAGGATTCCAAGCAAATAGCGACGAAGCTGGCCAGCAACAGGCAGCACCGCAGCCAACAGACATCATCTGGATAGTGGACGGGGACTCCACTGAACATACCGAGCACAAGAGCCAATGCTGCCACAACATCCAGAGCAACGGAACGCAGTACTTCGAGACGACCTTCGACGACGACGAGCTCGGCTTAAACATGGCAACGTCCACCACTGGCAATTAGGAGCGTACGATTGAGGCATGCGGCTTGGTTATGGTGTACCCCAGGACCTTGACTTGGTGCCTCGACGGAGGTAATCTAGCTACCCGCAGCAGCTCGGACCCGTGGGCGGCAAGAGAAGCCACACCAGCTCGGGCGAAAGCGGTTGCCAGGGACAATGCCACATTGCGCGTGGCCCTCGACAACTCTGCCGGCGCTGGCAGGAGGAGGCGCCCCTGCGACGGCGGTGCTGCAGCGCGCAGGGCTTGGGCGACGCCCGCAGGGGGGCGAAGGGGAAGGGCTCCCAACTTCGCGCTTCGCGCTGCGCGAAGCGCGGCGTGCGAATAGCTTCGCGCTCTCGCGCCGCCTCCCACGGGAGAAAAGGAGGATGAGGAGGAATCGGAGCCGAACCGCGAAGCGAGAAACGCGAATAACTTCGCGCCCTCGAGGGCGCCCTTGGCAAGGGGCGGGCGATGCGGCCATTCGGCGCTGCTGCGCCGCCGCTGCCGCCAGCGGACGCCCCTTCTCTGCGCGCCGCAGCCTCTGAGGAGGCCGCCCGCGGCCGCGGGCGCGGGCGTCTTGGGCTCCGAGAGCGGTGCCCCCCCCGTTCCTTCGGACTCCACGGCTTCGAGCTACCTTGTTCTGAAGTCTTGGAACCTTTCTCGCCTCGTTGTGAGGGCGGCACCAGCCCAGGAAGACGATCCGACGATCGCCGACCTGGGCATAGCCTGGCTTCCGCGAATCGCCGCCCAGTCAGTTGTTGAGGCTGGCGGCTGGGCAGCGCTGGCGCCGCGATCTGGGCGGCGGCTTGCGGAGCCAGGAGAATGCCTGGAGACGCTCGGAGGCTGCCAGAGGCTTCGGAGGCGCCCAGAGGCCTTATTCCCTCTCGGGGCCCCTTGAGAGGCACCTCCCCCTCCGTGTTCCTCGTAGCCTCTGGTCCGCCTTTGTCGGCTTCTCGGGGCCCCGCCCTCCCCCCTCGGAGGCCCTCTGAGGCGCCCTTCCCCCGCTCTCTCGTCGCGGGGTCCCCTCGGCGCCTTCGGGTTTCGCTTGTGGGGCTCTTGGGTTCCTCGCATCTCTTCCTTCACGTCCGAGTAGGCGTCCCACTCTCCTCGGGCGCGGACATATTGACCTCGTGGGGCGCTTCGGGCGCGTCGGCCGCCGCGGCGGCTCGGCACGGCGCGGCGGTGGAGTGCCGTGGACTCCGCGGGCCTGCGGCCCCCTCGGGAGTGCAGTAGTAGGAGTAGGAGTAGGAGTAGGAGTAGGAGTCAAGCTAGCCAGCTCGAGCGAGTCAAGCATGGCATGCCCAGTCCCACCCGCCCTCCCACAACATAAGAAGCAAAGCTGGCACAACTGGGGGCCGAAGTCACACCGGCCAGCCGGTTTGGTACAGCTGATGCGGCCGCGATGGCGGTTGCCGACGGGAACTGGCGAGCGCGTGTTGAATGCCGCGCACGCATTGCCAGACGAGTCGAGAATGGCCCGGTACACCGCAGGAAGCCAGAGGTGGCCGGAGGAAGCCCGACGGTCTGACAGGACACCCCAAAGCATTTTTGTGAAAAAGCAATGGGTTTTTGATGTTTTTATGTTGAAATGCTTGCAAAAACACGGTATTCGGTAGGATTCTGACATGAACGCGCGAGTGTGCTCTTTGTAATATTTTTTGCACAGGATTCGCGGCCTGGGTGCATGACAGAGCATCGCGAGTGCACCGCGCGATGACGTGAAATCGCTGGATTTGACAGAATTCTTAAGATTCCGATGGTTTTCCTATGATTTCAGCAAGAGAGCCCGGGCGGGAAATTTGTACAATTTTTTTGTGAAAAAAGCATTGGGTTTTTGATGTTTTTATGTTGAAATGCTTGCAAACACACGGTGTTCGGTAGGATTCTGACATGAACGCGCGCGTGTGCTCTTTGTGGTATTTTTTGCAATGGATTATCGCCGTGGACGACAGGACGTCCATGTCGAGAGGAAAAAATAAGAAAAATGTTGATTTTGTATTGTTTTTTACAGGTTAGGATGGGACCACCCGGATGCGGCCCCTATCTGCCGGCCTGAGGGGGGAGTAGGAGTATATTCTAATAAGGAATAAGGATAAGGAGTAGGAGTATAGTAGGAGTAGGAGTAGTAGTTGGGAGGAGGAGGAGGAGGAGGAGGAGGAGGAGGAGGAGGCGGAGGCGGAGGCAGGAGGAGGAGTAGGAGGGAGGAGGAGGAGGAGGAGGCGGAGGAGTGGGAGGAGGAGGAGGAGGCGGAGGAGGAGGAGGAGGAGGGAGGAGGAGGGAGGAGAAGGGAGGAGGAGAAGGGATGAGAAGGAAGGAGGAGGGAGTGTCAGAGGGGAGGAGGAGGAGGGAGGAGTAGGAGGAGGAGGAGGAGGAGGAGGAGGAGGAAGCAGGAGGAGGAGGAGGAGGGAGGGAGGAGGGAGGAGGGAGGAGGGAGGGGGAGGAGCGAGGAGGAAGGAGCGGAGGAGGGGAGGAGGAGGGACGGAAGGGAGGATGAGGGAGGAGGGAGGAGGAAGGGAGGAGGAGGAGGAGGCAGTGTAGTCCGTTTTGTTCCTCCCGCCAGGGGCCGAAATCGTCCTATACGAGGATGCGCGTGTTCCCCGAGGCGAAGCAGAGAACGAGACACGACACTGACTCCACCAGCGCTTGAATATATATATATATATATATCTATATATATATATATAATCTACCTCCCTGTGCCTCGGCCAGCTTTACAGAAGGGGGGAAGGTCGGGTAAAGCTTGAGCCCACCAGGGCGGCACGGCGGCGGGTTCCCACTCTCTCTCTCTCTCTCTCTCTCTCTCTCTCTCTCTCTCCGAGCAGACCCGTACTGAAGTACTCGAATGCATGATCGTCCGTTTTCCTCCCGCCAGGGCGAAATCGTTCTACATGAGGATGCGCGTTGTCCCCGAGGCGAAGCAGAGAACGAGACACGACACTGACTCCACCAGCGCTGAATATATTCCGAACTTGTTAGCAAAGCCCACCGACACCATGAATAATACCTTTGCAAACGCTGTCCTGGACTCATATATGTGGCCGAAATACACTTGCTGATTGTCGTAGGAGAGCATGCCGGATTCTAGTAGCGATCGCGCGGCACAAGGGGAAAGGGTAGACCTCAGCTTGCTTAGAGACAATCTTGGAGCCTTTCATCTCCAAGGTGTAGTGGGGCTGGCCCGTGAAGGAGCAAACCCCTCGCCCACGACATCGAAGATTCAGCGGCTGCAAGTCAACGTGGCACCCCAGGAGCCGGGTAGATTTTCTCCAGGCGGTGCCGAAAGCGCACATGTCGAGAACAACTTCGTTGACTCCAGGAAGGCTGCGGGCGCGCAGGACGAGGGGCTGCCTCCAGAGGAGGGAACTCGCTGGATTTTCGACGATCACTGGACAACCGCGCAAGCAGCACTCACGAAATATACTGAATGTGGCGGCGCGCAGAGTTGCCGAGGTCGACTTCCTTGCGGCAGCAGGCGCTGAGATTCGGCAGGCCAGTAGGGAACTCCGAGGTCCTCAAGGTCGGCGGGCCATTCGGACGGTTCCTGGCCAGAGAAAAAGAATTACACGGGGCCCCCATGAACACTGATATAACTGAACCACTACGGATCCAACCTCTAATCTGCTTGACAAGCTTCTTGTTGCACATGTCGTGTTCAGGCCCGTGCCGAATGTCGATCTCGAAAGCTGGGTGGCCTCAACTCTTGAGCGATTTCCTGAGCGTCTCGGAAAGGTGGCCAGAACCTGCGAAAATCTCAAGAATGGCGGGGCGCCTGACGAGCTTCACAAGGAGCGGCAGGCACTCACGAGGGCGACGCCACTCCTCGAGGCCGCATCCTCTGCGGCGTGCAGGAAGGTCTGGTCGAGGGCACTCAGCTGCTCGTTGATGTGCCCTCCCTTCTCGTAACCGGCGAGGCTGCGGTCGCTCGCCCAGCGGGCGCGCTTCTTGGCGTTCAGGGGCGAGCGCACTTTGAAGAGGAGGACGCGCGACGCCCCTCCGTGGCGGAGGCGGTAGAGGGTCGGCTCGCCGAGGGCGCCCATGCCGACGGCGCTGGACGCGGCCTTCAGCGCGCGGCCCGAGGCAGCCTGGCCGAAGCAGACAACCAGCACGTTGATCGGGAACTTTGCCTTGAGAGATGCCAGCACCTGCGGGGGCCAGAGGAACAGCGCGAAGCCGGCCAGGAGGTTCGCGTCCACGCAGTCCGCGCTGGGCGCGTTGCCTCCCTCTTGAGGGCGAAGGAGGATCGACTACATCTGGCTCGCATCTCCCTGTTGGTGGCAGCCTGCAGCAGCCGGGGGCGCATTCAGCTTCCCCTTCAGGCGCAGGCGCTCGCTCGGGCGGGAGTAGAGGACGAACGCGATGACGCACGCGACGGCCCCCATCAACTGGGCCGCCCCGCTCATGTGCTGCATGTGCAGGTAGAGGGCGATCCAGGGGCATGGCTGGCGACACTGGGCGGGCGACATGCGCCTCCAGCCCGCAAGGGCTCGCGTGCTCCGGGGCAGCTCCAGCGGCAACCCGTGGGGGGGCGCCCAGAGGATCCGGAGGCCCACCATGAGCTTGGTCGGCACGTACACGAGCTCCCCCTGAAGGAGCTTCTCCTGCATGAGGGTCGTGAGCGCGAGGTCGATGCCTGCAGGGGCCGACGTCGGGCCGTTCGCCGGGTCGCTCACCCGGCCGTGGTGCAGGCACCACTCGTGAAAGGCCTTCACGCGCGACAAGTAGTCGGTGGCGACCTTCGGGGTGCCGTTCTGCAGTACGAGGACGGACGGCTCGTTGGCCGTCACCAGGGCGCCCGCGACGATCAGGGAGGCCCTCGCCTGCTTGGCGGCCCGCAGCTCCGATGCGCCCGGGCCGCGGGGCGCCCGCTCGCGGCGGGGGCGCCGGCCGCGCGGCCCGGGAGGGCTGGGGGCCGCCGCCGAGCGCGGCAGGCCCCCGGCGCGCGCGGCCAGGGCGACCAGCATCAGCTGCAGGCACGCCGCCGAGAGTGTCGCCGACGAAACCATCGCGGAAGGCCTGGAGGCC